AAAGAATTTTTTTGAAATCTGGAGTTGCTTGGTGTTTTATCAATATTTTCCATTTTTTCCAGGATGATCTGTAACAACTGTGTGCTCTCAGGTTTATAATATGCTCACATTCATTTTTTCAATTTGTCAATGCATTGACTTTTAAGGTAACATCATATGAGATAAATGTTTGATAATTATGTCTTTGCACAGCAGCAGTCAAGAGGAAATAAGCTGTGCATGACTTCAAAAACACTTAGGTGTCTGTAGAACAGAAATTAATATCATGGCTCACAAAGCTTAAGAGAAAAAAGTGTTTGTATTAACTAGTGTTGCTTTGTACTGACTTGACAGTTGCTGTATTTCTAACTTTTTTGGCTGTAACTTCTAAGTTTTGTCTAGGAAAAGAGATCTCGGAACTTGCATTTTTAAATTACATAAATCCTAATTAAGGATAAAAAAACCTTGTGGTTTCTCAAATACAATTTTCCAACAAAAGTAACTTTAATGTCTGGCTTAATAATATATTTTCTCCCTTCAGGAAAGAACTATCTGACATGAATTTGGTAACACCATAATACTTCTATCCAGACCTTTCTAATAAGAATCTTCATAAGATTGAGTTTGGGTTTTTTCGTCATCTCCAAATGATGAAGAAACTCTGAACTCTTGAATTGTATTTTAATACTTGCTTTTCATGCTTTGGAAGACCCCGAGGTGTAGATCAGCATCCCCAGGGTTCCACTTGCTTCATCTCCCCTGTCTTTGTGATCCATTCAAAAGTGTAAATTGCTGGTATCTGGTTGAGGTTGGTCCCAGCTGTCCATGGGATAGGCAAGATTTGTTCACCTCTGGATTCCTGTTTAAGAAGAGCCAGCTCCTAGTTAGCGTGGGCGATCGAAGCCTGTGAACGAAAAAGGGAGTGAGCGGATTTGGTAGCGTGGGCCGGCACTGAGGTAGAGCCAGGCTAGGGAATACTGTCCAACCCTTGCTGCTTCTGCTGGTCCAGCTGTGCAGCATGGTTTTTTGAGGGCAAGCTGGAGTGTTAATTTCTAGCTATGACTTTGTATTTAAAGAGGCTGGTCACAGCTTCCTTGACTTTAGATATTTTACAAGGATGTTTCCTATGTTTATAACTATAGTTCAGAACCGCTAGTTTAGCAATGATGGGGAAGGGAGCCTTTTTCTTGCCCACAGGCTACCAGCTGTTACCAACAGGCTCCAGCACATCCTGCATGCCTAGTTAGTAGTGAGCAGCTGGAGGAGCTGAAGTGTAATTCTTCATACAGGTTCTGATCATTAAGGAAGAAAAAAGTTGGGAGGGATGTTTCTCGACCTAGAACTCACACTGACTGTGGTCAAGAAGAAAGGGTACGGCTTCACTGCAAGTAGTAGTTGACTGGAACCATCAACATTATTCACAAGTGAATTCAGACTTTTGCATTTAATTCTCAGGCTTCTGTGTGGAAACCAGTATGTTCAAGACTTGCTCATTTCTGCAGGAGGTGTGTTGCTTTGGACAACTCTTCTTGATGTAGATGTGTTTCCAGTCCGATTACATCAGCTAGCTTCCTATTTGCAGGCAGGAAGGAAAGATTGCTTGCCTAGGGAGTACTCAGATGGAAGAGAGTTGCTTTTCTCTATTGCTTCTCCTGTTCTTTCACGTTCATTTTGTCTTGTATGCATATATTGCTACATTTTGTTCTGCTCTGGATAATGCTTTATGTAAATTGTTTCAGTTTGCAGTTTATATTCAAGTGTTATAGAATTCCCTTCGCTATGCTATTACCTGATTAGGAGCTGTGAATGAAGCAAGTGAAAGTTGATATAGGTGTTTGGGATCGATCCATGGTAAGGCTGAGTGGGAAGATGGAGTGGGAAGCTGGTGGGCATGTGAAGCATCTTCAGAGTCTGTAATGGTGGAAAAAAGGTGTTATCATTTTTGAGGAAGGTAAAACCTAGGAGCGTTTACTGTTGCTGGCAAGGAGGGGGAAAGATGTCAGGTACTCTTGGAAATACTGCTAGAGGCATTAATACTTCTCCAAGCAATTTAACATGGTTAGAGGTGATAAAGGTGGGCGTTGGTAGTGTTCTGTGTTCCCTATAGATATAGATTATCCCGGGGGGATCAGTATGCTGTTTGTATGTAAATCATCCCAGTGGAAGAGTAAAGAGTGGGCCTGCTCTGGAAAAGCCCTAGTGCAGCTGGCCACAGGGGAGACCAGAAGCCTTGAGAAAATCTGTAGCTTGTGCTGACATAAACATCTGGCCCTTGCTTTTTACTTCTTGGAATGGGCAGGAACAGGGACTGCTGGCAGAGTTGGCTTTCTGCTTGGAAAGTATCTGTATGCAGTACTGCCACAGCTGATCCAAGCTGTTGAAGTGTACGATGGGTGCAATACGTGACTGTTGTAACAGGGCAATTTTTATTCTTGCAAGTAGATTTTGCAAACACAGGGATCCTGTAAAACCTTTTGAACAATAACAGTAGCAAAGATCACTGCCCATCTACAAGAGCACACTTGCATGTAGAAAATGTGTTTACATATGACAAAAGCAAACAGGTATCTAGACTATAGTTGTGTATCTACCAAAAATGAGGCCATTCTCTGTATCTTATGGGGTTTTTTCTCCATCCTTCCTTTCTTTGACAGGTCACGAGATACCCATTAAAATGCAACAGGATATAAGTGATAAACTTGGCACACTAGATGTTTATGCTGTAAAACAAAGAATCACAGCTTGTGTTTATGTATTACCCTGTACTTAAAGGGACTTCAGAAGAAGAGAGGGTTTGCTTGACTAACCTTCTGAACTGGAAGGCAGTCATATGATAGCATAGTTAGCTTGAGTTAGAAGACCCCTTAAGAAAGCATTCTTGTAGTGGAAAAGGTATGTGGAAATACATGTTGAATGCTGTTAATAATATGTTCTCTTTAAGGGTCTAATAATTGTCTCGTCTCTTTCTGAAAATTGCTAGCTACAATTGGTTGGTTCTATATATAATAGTGATGGGGGGGAACCAAAAAAACCTTTGAGCCTGGCAAGTATAACTTGTCCAAATGCAACTGAAATTGATGGGAAGACTGGTTTGATTGACTAACATTGCCCAGACATTCAGGATTTTCAATCCTAAGTTCTGTATGATGCTGAAAGTTGAACTTTCCCTGCAGTTGAACTGCATTTCTGATGTTATATCACAGATTTAAGATGCCTTTTATGTTTTAGGAAGATCTGAATTTGACATGCCTTATGAAAAGCTCTGTACTTATTTTGTATTCAGGTTTATGAGGTTTTTTAAAAACAAAAAAAAAGGGGGGAAAAAAAGCCCATAGTTCAGACCATAAGGCTCTTCTAATGGCATTCTATTGATTACTGAAAATTGCTATCATTTTAACCATGCCTCTTTTCGGTTTGAGGTGGGTTTGTTACTGTTTGAACTCAAGCACTGATTTCAGTGTGATTCCAGTGGAAAGTCTGATTCCTGAACTGTAGTAAAGCAAAAAGTCCCACTGTTATCTAGCTGTGCTGGCTGAATTTAGAACATACTTTTAAATTGTTGGTTTCTGTATGCATGCTCTGTATGTTCTTACTTGGAGCAGAAATCAGATCCATAGATGTCAGTGGTCTAGTCTGCAAGAATCCTATAAGGACTGTAAGATGATAAGGGAGAATATTTTGAAAGTGCTTATTGATTAGAAATTACAAAGTCATCTTAAAAACTGCTGTGCTTCAGTGTTATTGTCATTGGCAGTACAGCTCAGTTTGTCAAACTACTGCTGCTGCAGAGACTGCCAAATAAGTGTCGTCTTCCTGGGATGATTCTTCTTCCCCTATCCACTCCATTTTGCAATGCTTCACTCACATTTAAGTTTTTATCTTGAAAGGAAACTATTTGCAAAAAAAATGGAAAATATTCGGATAAATCAGGAGGTGGTTTTTTTGTATGTAATACAATGTTCTAACTTTTATCCACTGATCTTGTCCCTGCTCTATTCTAGTGCTGCAGCCTTGTTTGTTTGTTTGTTTTTTTCCTGAGATCTCTAGTTAGCATATTCTGGGTGAAGCTGTGCACTATATCTGCCATAGCATGAAGTGTTCCTAGGTTGATGGATGGCTGGCTTTAATGATCTTGATTCTTGCCTGTGGGAAAAGCCAGAAATGATGCAGGTATAATTTAGATAACTCTGGGATGACCTACCTGAATTGAAAACCTTATCCTCCACTGCCTTTGGCAAGAATCTCTCCACCACGTTAATCATTTTTCTTGCCTTAAAGGCCCGTGTTAGAGGGTTCTTCCAAGTTTTTAGAAGAAAGTCCCATCCTGGAGTTGATGTGGTAATGTCCTTTAAAACTGCTCCTTTTTCCTTGGCTCATGGGCTAGAAGTGTTGCTCTGTATTACACTCTTTAATGTGTTGCAAAAATCTAGAATGATAAAATATTAAAATAGGCAAAAAAGAAAAAAAATTCCTGGGAGACCATAGGAAATTTTGCTCATGAGATGTGATGTAGTGCTACTCAGTTGTAAATTTAGATCATATTGCAACATTTATTAATTGGGTCATGTATCTGATGCCGAGTTGCAGATTATGGGTATTTGATAAAGTGATAAGAGATCTTGAAAAATCTAGGGTTTATGTTTAAGAGCAATGTACATCTTAACAAATGTTTGACAATCGGAAACAAATTGTTGCAATTTAGTAGTTTTAAGCACACTTTGATTAGGAAGATATTTTGCTTTTTATTATTTTCAGTATGGATTAGCTTAATTTTTAAGTCTTGATAGACCAGTTTTTGTAATTCAGCACTTTTCCTGCAAGTCAGAATTGAAATCTATGCAACCATTTTCTTCTATAGTCAAAAAAGACCACACTGGGTTTTAATGTTATAACAAATACTACACAGTAGGATTCTCCAGTCAGTCTGGATTGTGAATTCATGAAAATAACAGGAAGGATTCATTAGGCTATCTGTCAGAACTGTAAAATGAAATTCAGCTATGGTCTATGTTTCTCTTTAGATCTCATAAATGGAGCCCAAGAACAGTGCGAATTGCCTCCTATGGATGGTTTTCCTCACTGTGAAGGGAAAATAAAGGTAACTGAACTGTTTTTAATCTTATTATGTGTGTTCTGTTAAAAACAGAACATATGTTGCAAGAGGTCACTACTAAGACAATGGCATAAAACAAGAACAACTGGCTCAAAAAAGAAAAGAGGATATTTAGTAGTGTGTGTCACTACAGCACTGCTCACCTCAAGCCTTTAATGCTACTGCTGCAGAGAAGTAACGTGGCATCTTGTTAAGACAGGCATAAAATGCCATATTATATTAAAATGCCTTTATTATTTGAACGCTGTCTTGTTATTCAGAAACTTTCTTCTCCTTTTTGAAAAGCCCTGTTTTCTTCCCCAGTATGAGTCATTTGGCATTCCCCTACCCCAGGACTGGGATTCTGTCTGTACCTCGCTCCAGTCCTTTCTCTGTTTCAGCAAGACATTGGTTTACACTTCTTTCCCCTCTTTGCCACCAGCTCTCTGTGGTTCCTCCCTTCCCCTTTTCTGTTAAAAGCATTCTGCCTCTTCTGCTTACAAGCTAGGCACTGCACTAAGCATGCAACCAGAACTTTGGGGTTCGCAGTTGATTCTGCATAAATCCTATATTTTACTAATAATGCAGTTGGAAAGGCCAAATATTGAAAGCCATCAGACTTTTATTGGAGAAGAAGAAAAAAAACCAACCCCAACCAAAGCCCAAAACTTGCAGAGATGGAGGGTTTTGTTTTTTTTTTTTTTCCCCAAGATGCATTTGAAATATAAGGATACTGTTTCAGTAGTGGGGGACAAAAGTAAAATTGCTGGACACTTAAATATCATTACCAAGTATTACAACTTATTTCTGAAAGTGAACACAAATAACTAACAAAGTATATGTGAATTATCTTGCCTTTTTTCTCTCTAAATAAAATTCTTAGACAATAGTATTAAAAAAAACCCCAACAACAACAACAACAACAAAAACCAACCACCAAAACTTCTGTTAAATCTCTAGTCTGTGTTTTGATCCGTTTTGACAAACTGGCTGCATAGTGGCTATGTAATACATTATTTGAATATTAAAATATGAATTTAAATGAATTGCATCTGCAGAAATGGCAGATTCTTGGCAGAATCAGGCAGATTTCTATCTTGGTAGCTGAAATGATCTGTTAAATTCCAGAGCAAGTGTAACACGGGGGGGCAATGCAGTCGGCTCCAGCCACACCCATATGTCTGGATCCTGATTATATTTTCCTTTTGATATTTGCCTCTGCTTGCCCAGCTACCAGTTTGTATGAACTGTGCTCACGTTTGTTATGTAGTTACTTCCCCAACGTAGCTGAATGCAGAGATGCATTATGTTGCAAAATATTAATGAAATTCCTTTTTTGTTATTTGTGATTTTTATCTGGTTGGGTATAGTCACTTGCAGCTTTCCCCTGTTATTCCTGAGTTCAGTGAGAAACAGTATAGAGTTATTACATAGTACTTAAACCTAACACACTATGTTTTTCTTCTGTTACAGTGGATGAGAGATATGTGGCGATCGGATCCCTGTTACGCAAGTTACGGTGTAGATGGGTCCACATGCTCCTTTTTTATTTACCTCAGTGAGGTCAGTAATCTTTTAATCTGCAGAAGGGGAATATCATAGTGCCTCAGTATTTTTGGTAACTATTGGCAAACTTTTCTCAGAAGAAATCATAACTTCAGAAAAATTCTATAAAGAGGAGAAAGCTATTAAAGCAGAACTATTATGAAGTGTGTTGCTATTGTTCATAAGTCCTCCAGGTGTTCCTAGCCTGGAGAATTCTAATGTTTATAACTGAAGTGATGTAAACAGGAACTGTGCAGGGAGTGCACACTAGGTATCCTGTTTAACTGAAGTATGAATTCAGTCATAAATCCTTGCCTCTGAACACTTCTTCTGTTGCTTTCTATGTGGCTCCTGAGGTAGTAATAGGGAGGCACTTGGGATGTAAAATTTGGAAAGCAGAACTAGAGGGTACATCCTCCTAAGAAGCATGGCCGCTTCCTGCTTGGATACTGTTCATGAATTGCAGAGTCTGTTAACGGAAAACAAAAAAACCTAAAAGTCACGTGTTTGAATGAAATTGCAGATATATTGGCACTTGACCTCTTCTTTCTTATTAGTAAAATTTTGATAACTTAGGGCAACTGATCTTGGGAGTAGTATTGGTATCTAGTGGCTTACTGCGTGTAAAGAACTGCGAGAGCTAATGTGGTTGCAGAACTGCAAAGTAGCATTAATTGTGTACTCTCTGCAGGATTTGGGGGGAGAGGCTGGGTTTTTAAATTATGTATCTGGGATTAAAACAGTAAGTATTATATAAGTAACTCAGTTGTAATGAAAGCAGTTTCTGCTAATTTACTCAGTTGACTGTCATTGCAGTTGTTGGGGCATTGCTTTAAGCAGCAGTAGTAGTTAAATGCATATCCAAAACACGTATCTGAAGAAATAAAAAAGGCTGAATTGAAGCACAAATTTGACTCATTCCATTGCAATTACCAAGTGTTGATTTATTTATGGGCTATAAAGCTGGGGAAGGAAAAGATAGAGGATGACTATATTATTTATCCTGTTATTTATCATAGAAGCTAGAGATATGGTTTCATAATCATCTGAAGTTGATCTGAGTTTCTACTAAAAAGGTTATGTTTTAGCATCAGTGGAGTTACGTTTGCGCAGTAGTATTCTGTCAAGCAGATGGTGCTTCATGTTTTTAATGCAGATGTATCTTAAAAATGAGGATACATGTCAACTGAATGTGAGAATCTAATATTCTTGCATGACATTTATTATTTTGTATTTCTGTTAAATTGCAGTATTTTCTGTGACAATCTTCTCTGATCATCAGTTTTGGAAACTCAGTTGATGCTGTTAGTTTTTTCATAATTGATCTTTCAGCTCAAAATGCAAGCAGATTTAGAGAGGCCAAATGCTTTTTTTTTTTTTTTTTTTTTCTTCAAGGGTCTAAGGATTTGAAATTTTTCTTTAAGCAGCAATATTGAATTTGGGCAACTTCTCATTTCATAATGGAACAACAGTACAATTACTCTGTGTTTATATTTGGGAACTTCAGACAAGGGTCTTGTACTTTTTTTAAAGTGTTCTCCCATGACAGAATGTAAAACTAATATTGGGTGAGCATGTTATTAACCTTGAGTTTAAATTTGGCATTCTTAATCCTGTGATTAATTCCATGATTAATGCCCAGCAGCAGAGGTTGAAAGCTTAAATGTTTGCGAATGCAAGCATGAAATGAAATACTAATAACACTACAATGATGTGGATTTATGAGGTGTGTTGGCTGCTAAGGATAACTTGGAAATACTGTTGTGAGAGTAATTTGTCAAAGTGGACAGTGATGAAGAGTTGACAGTTTATAGTACGGTTGCACAGCTGAATGATAAATGTGTCTACAGAGCTCTCAAGTCAAAACCACTGATTTAAAATATTAAAATGCATTAGGGTACTGGAAGGATATTACTGTTAAGATTTTTCTTTTTTATTTTAAGCTTACAGGAATAAGATGGTTGTGTACATATCCTCTGCTTGAAAAGGCAATATATAGATCAAATTATGCACAACCTCAGTTTGAAATGACAGAATATGCATCAAATTGTGCATATATCTACTTTTGCTCTTAAAATCACCTCTACAATCTGGTGTGACAAGCGCCTGTGGTCTTTCATACTCTCTTGGGATCTACTTTTTTCTTGTGAAGCAGATCAGTTAGGGTATTATGTTACACTCATCTATCACTCTTTGTAATGCAATTTTAAACTTGTAAATAAAGGAGCCCGAAATATTACATTTTGGTGTGTAATATGGGTCAGAACCACAGAGACACAAAGTAACTTGCCCACAGTTTGTGCAAAGGTTTAGAAACAAAGCCTGGAATAAAACCCAGTCTTTGGGTATCTGTCATGTGCCCTTGTTATGTTTCCACCATGTGTGTCCGCAAAATAGAAACAGCGCAGTCAAAATCCAGGCTGCCCCAAGTCGTCTCTTCTGAAGAGCCTGCACATGTGCAAGTATTAGCAGTTCTGCCTCCCCTAGTTTGCTTTGGATGGCACCTGCAGGAACGTAAGAACAGCTCTTCTCCACTTCTCTTCTTATGGCTTGGCTGCTTGAGCAGAATGGGAGGCGAGTGTGGCAGCAGAAGGAAAGCAAGAAGCAATCCAGCACATTCAGGCTTATGTTTTTTATTTAAAGCTGTCCCCTGTACAGACTTGCAGGTAAAGCTGCAAGAATTTTTGCACTTCTATCTTGCTGTTTTGCTGCAGGCACTGGATCACTCCTGGTGGATGATATGCAACTGTGCAGTCCTCATAACACTAATTGTGCTGGAGCCTTTGAAGACTGAAGGAGACACAAATGGCCTGAATAGCAAAACCAGACTTATATTCTCTTGAATAACAGAGCAAGACAGGGATTAGAAGCAGCAAAAATTGAAAAGCAAGTTAAGCTAACTCTAAGGTTTCTGGATAGGTGGGACTTGTTTCCTTTTAACCATAATACAAACTTGCCCATTGAGAAGAGTTACTTCCCTTTAAACTTAGCATTTAGTTATGAAAAAGCTGCTTGTTTAACACTGTAATGTCACTGGCACAGTTATAATTTTCACGGATGGCATTGCCTCTGGGGAGAAATGTGAAAAAATGAATTTCTAGACAGTACAAAAATATATTCCACTGCAAAATGTCAGTTTGCAGCTGAAGAATGAAGCTTTTAAAAATATCTTATAGAAAATGAATTTTTCACAGTTTCACAGCTTAACAAAAAAAATAAAAAAGATGGAGGGGTCTTATCACTCCCTTTCTTTATGTAGATATGTGCTTTCTCCGAGAGAACTGCCTGCAACACAGGAGTGGAACTGCTGCTGTGCCTGCTGGTCAGCCAGTAGCTGTGATGCAAATTACCACTGCCCAAGGGTCATTACATTGATGTTTACCTGCTGGAGCTGGGCAGATATCATTAAAATCCCAGGCTTCGGATCTCCAGCTCACCTTTCAGGTGCAAGCGTAATGTTTGGTACCCATCTTGGAAGGCGATCCGACGCTCCAAAACACTAAAACTCTTTCAAAGACCAGTCTTTGAGACTCTTGCCTGTTTGCTGGTATACCACTGGAGAGAATTCTTGCTTTCAGTTCTTCAGACTTGATGGAAACAGAATGCGTGGTTTTGTTGCAGTAGTATTTTTCTTCCCACTGTTACTTTTGCTTTGAGAGATGAAGGAGAAAAATACAAACTGAAGGTGATTTCGAATGTGGGTTTGTTTCCAGAATGCAAGCTGTAGTCTGAGGCACACGTTAGTGAAAACACCTGGGAATCGTAATTATACAGCTTCCCCAAATCCTTGTGGTTTTGCTGGTTTACCGCAGTTTGCTAGTGTCTGTGTGGACGCTGCCTGTCCTCAACTTCCACTATATGTGTAATATCTGATTTCTGACACTGATGTGAGTTAATGATTTGCATTTCTTCATTGTAATTTCACATCAAACTAACTTCTTCAAATTCTACACAATTACTCAGAAAATTTACAAAAATAGTATTGTTGTCTGACGTGTACAGCAGCAAAAGCTTGAACAACTTTAGTCATCTTACATGTGTCCCTGAGAAATTGAAATGCTAATGATAGTCAGTACTTTGTCCCCAAATCATCCATTAGCGTATTGGCTTAGATTTGGGTGATTGGGGGTCAGTTATCTTTTCTATCTCAGCCATTTTAAACCAGGATTGGTATTTTTCTGTCTTGTTGGAAAAGGCATAGATGTTTATGTAAGAGAGGAATCGAATCTAGTGCCCGTTACTGAAGTTAGATAAGAGACCATTTGTTGATTGATGGTTGTGTATAAAATTTTGTGTCTTTGTGTATAAAATTTTGCCTTTGTATTGCTGTAGACCTTAATTTTACATAGTGCAATGCAAAACCACAGTTAACTGGAAGCTTTTTACTTGAAATACATATAAAAATGCAATTTTTTGAGGAAAGCAGCAACAAAACTTAGCAGCCTGCTAGATATCTTGTGTAAGTACCATTGAATCAGCAGGCTTTTTAATTCTGTAGTAGAAGCCGGTCAGTGCTATAGTTTCCTTTTCCAGTAGTTCTACAAAAGCTGTCTCTGAAGTCTTAGGTACCTTGTGTAGTTCCATAGGATGAAATCCCTCTCCCTTTTACCAAAGTGTATATAGACTGTTGATCACCTCTAGCTCTCACTGAACAGGGAAGCAAGAACCAGAGGTGGAGAGAAATATCTCTGTTCCCTCTGAAAACCTTGTTTTTGTTGGAAGCATGGTATTTCTTGAGTATTAGGCACCTCTAAATACAGATGTTATGACTCGTGTAGACTTCCCTGCTGTAGTTTTTCACTTCTGCTTTCTTCGCTCTGTATCTACCTGATAATATCTACTATGATCTAGAAGTGGCTTCTGGTGCATGAGCTTCAGTGTTGAGTGTTTGACTGTTCTGCCTGCTGCCATCGCTCTAATCGTATTCTGATTTTCATCTCAGTTTCTCTTGGTACCATGACTTATTAATTCCAGTGGATTCTTTAATTATCTACAAAATGAACTCATATTTGAACAACAGAATTTGTATTAGCTTTTCGGCTGGTTTTGCTATCATAATGTTTCCATCTTAGGGGCATGTATGCCCCTGATCTTTTTTGCCCAAGAATACCTGCAATTCAGTATTAAAGTAATCCTGGTTTGGCTGGTTTGTCAGTCAGTATTTTGCCTCTCCATCCCCACCTTCCCTTGAGTCAATAGGTTAATAAGGTTTTTTCTTCTTTCCCCTTCCCATGGTATGTCAGATTCGTTTGCTTCATCTTTGCTTTCTTGGTGCTCTTCTTAATTATTATCTCCCATCTAACAGCCCTTTCTGAGCCATTGGCTCATAAAAATAAGCAGAATTCTTTCCTTTTTCTATAAGAGAATGTCTATGCATTCTTCCCAGTGCCTTTATCAGTCCTGAAAATAACAAAACAACTGGCATACTTTGAAGAATAGGCATTTAAAAATCCTCCGGTGAGTTAAGTTGATCTTTCCAATGAAAAGAGGACTTGACTGAATATCAATAAGGAAAAACAAGTGCTAGACCAGCTACATACTGGTATTACTTTGAATCTAATCCTTAAGTGTTTGTTTGTGATTAGAATTAACGTAATTTAATTTAGAGTAGAGAGAATATTTCTAAAAGCACAAAAGAACTGTGTGTGTGTTTCAGTCAGTGAGGCACGCTGCTAACTGTCCTTGGCAGCTCTGAAAAATCTTCAGTCCTTTAGGATGCCTGATGGTGTGATATGAACTAAGTGAAGCCAGAAAAGGGGCACGTACACTAGTCCTTGAAATGTCATATCTTAATATAGATCAGTTTTAATGCCAGGAGTAATTCAAAATTATTTGTACTATTTAAAAAAAAAAAAAGAAGATTGGGACTGTGCATGATTTGTAATATGGAGCTTGCAATGCTTTTCTACCAGTGATTCCACAACTTATGTTAGTAAAAGTTAGGGTTGTTAATTGCTACAATTTCTAGTGTGTTTCCAGAGTTGGAGACCACTGAAGTGTTTTCAAATGAGGTTGATCAAGTCACTGCTTTCAAATATAGTATTAAATACGTCGAGTAGATTAAGTCATAGCATTCAAATTAATGCTTCTGTATAATTTGTCTGAGGAACCTAAGCTTGATACATTTCTTCTCTTTGATGAGGCTATGATGTCTATTAATTTATTTTCATGTGATTGGTCTTCTAGGCAATCATTTGGTGTGATGTTAAGCTTTTAATCTCTAGTGCTTCAGGCTTACTGCAGCATGATTAAGCTAAAATTGTGTTTTGACAGGTCTATGACTGGAGGAACCATAAGAGCAACTCTGACTTCTAATTCTCTGGGAGTTGTGTACTTGATCAATAGTGATGGGGTATCTTAGCTGGCCTATAAACTTTTGCATTTCTCCCTTTTCACAGTACAGTAACATTTCTGTTTTCATGGGTTTGCCTCCAACAGTGAGATTCCTTCTTCCCCAAAGTGAATGGGCTAATTTCTTAAGGCATGTGAATAATGAAGTCTACAAAACAAGCAAGATCCCTAGGGGAAGACCACAGAAGCTTTCAGTGACTTGCATCCATTTGCTGTTTCTTCTCTAACTATTAGCTGTTGTACTTTTTTTTTTTTTTTCTAGTAGACAATAGTAGTATTGCATTTGCACTGATTGTTTCTCTAAGAATTACAGCTGTTAGTACTTATGGATATTGTTACTTATGTTATAATTATGTTACTTATACCCTTCAAATAGGGTGGGTTGGGTTTTATTCTTCTTTCAACTTTTTGTCTAGATTGCTACAAGGTAGAGCTTTGATCCTTGGGTTTTATCAGGCTTTGCCTTTTTATAAAGATATTCTAGGGAGATGAGAAATGTTCCAAAATAGGTATTTTTTTTTAAGGTCTAGAAGCATCAAAAACTCAGTGCTTTTTGAAAACATTGAGGAACTGCTCAGAGAAACCGTATTTAGAGCATTTAACAGCTGACCTCTGTCTTGAAAGGGTTTTATATCCTGTATTCATTATCATGAATGAATATCTAAATGCGAGTTTTGGTTGCAAATTTGCAAGGTTAAAGTAGTATTGAATTGCAAAAAGTCGTCTTAAGCTTTTCTTGCAAAAAGCAGTTTTACCTTGCAGTGACTTACTAATCAGCTGATGCCTTATTTAAGCCATAGAAAGGTGTAATATAAGGTCAGTGAGAGACTTTGGTAGACCAGCTGAAAGTAGAATAGAATGATTTATTTTCATGTGATTGTTTTACAGGTTGAAAATTGGTGTCCTCGTTTACCTTGGAGAGCAAAAAATCCTAATGAAGAAACAGATCAAAAAACAGTGGTAAGAACAATGTTAAAACATGAGAAATAATGCAGTAATTGTGATTCATGCAAAAGATCCTGGAATCTTGTGCCTCATAAATGCTAATAAGACTAGAATTTACCAGTTTTATTCCTCAGCTCCTCAAAACTGAAGGGAAACATCGTTGACTGTATACACGTAGCTCATCATGTATTTTCTCCAGTCATTGTATCATGCTGCAGTCTTGGTGGTAGATTTCCATTAAAAACATTGTGTTTAAATTTATGAAATATTGTACACAGATACTGAGAAAAATTACAAATCCATAGACTGTTCACCAGTGTTAAGTGACCATATGTGAAACTGTCCATTTTTATTGTCCCATAAATCTGAGCCTTGTATATAAAAATGCCTTAACGGAGAGGCTTATATACATTCCAGTTTTGTAGTAACGTTTTGATTACTCCTAATTTTTTTCCTTTAAAAACTCTACAGCATGCAGAGTTGTTTCTAAACTGTTATAGCCTAATTATGTAGCACTTAGGTATTTTAAGATAACTGCTGGGCTGTATATGAACACTGCTTATGTAATTTAGATATAGGCTGTCTCATTTTGTAAAACCAGTTGTTCTTAGATCAGTCTAGCTTTAAAATTAATATTTCCTTTAAAAATTATACTCCGGTAATGTTTCTTCCTTCATGGTATAAGAGACTTCCTTGTATTTGGAAGATTCATGATATACATGAATTTTCAGCATACTGTTCTAATTTTATATTGTGTTTTAGAGATACTTCAACCTCATTTTGAAGCACATGAACAAAACCGAATCTTATATTGCAGAAATAAATACATTGTGAAACATTGCAAACACATTCTGGGGCTACCAAATACTTCTAGTAAAAATAACAGTAATTTATGTGGCTTAGAAATGTCTGTTTAAAGATATCTTAAATATTTGAACTAAAATTTGAACTTGACTTTAGCGTTAGGCATCTATCTTTTGTTCTATTTTTTTTTTTTAATGAGGAATGTGAAGCACAAAGTTCACATCTGAGAAGTTTTTTCACTTCTGCAAAGTACACTATTTGAAGAATAACTAATGTTTGTTTTTTTTTTTTTAATTCTTTAATTGAAGGCTGAAATTCGTATCAACTTTGATGATCTCTACAAAATGATGTCAAGACACGAGGAATTCAGGTGGATGATGTTACGCATCAGACGAATGGCTGATACCTGGATAGAAGCAATTAAATCACTTGCAGAAAAACAGAATTTGGAGAAGAGAAAACGAAAAAAGGTAAATGAAAACATTTTTCTTTCCTGCCATTTGCAGTCATATAGGCTCTTTTAAGCTTCTTGTTCCAGAAGTAACTTCAGAGTGGAAATAACCAAATATGTAAAAGACTCGTGTTTATACTTATGCTTCTTTTCAAGAAGTATTTTGCTGTTTGAAATTACTGTTACAATGGGTATTTGCTTTACAAATAGGTTTACATACTTTCCATGAGTCAATCTTTGAGTAAGTTTTCTAACCTCTTTAATTTTGGATATAACAGAGGCTATGTAGAAGTTTCTACAGGGAGAAACTGTGAATTTACTGCAAGCTGATGACACTGGAGTGTTTTACTTAGTCGTAGAAAACAACAATTGTACATCATCTTTGTCCAAAATTGAGACTTTAAATGGTGTATTTCTGTTTTGGATTTGAGTAGACTTAAAGCTGACTGCAACTTTGGATTGGATCACTTTAGATCTCATGTAATGAGTTCAATTTAAAAACAGCGAGATTCTTGAAGTGAAAAGTTCTATTTTATTTGATTTTTTTTTTTTTTTTATTATCTCAGCTAGTTAAGATAAAGCCAAAAGTTGTAAATACAACAGCATTTTTGCTTCCTGCCTTGTTCTTACTGGAGCCAGTCCTAATTGATAGCAGGCCATGCACAGTCATGTTTCTACGCTCTCTCAAGCCCAACTGGCTGCAGCTCAGCTGCTTGGTTGAGATTCTCAATTCTCACATGAGGTGTAGGCTCCATGTTGCGGCTGTAATATTTCTCACGTACTACAGCCCTTGAGTAGGCTCACCCTCTGTCAAGGAGCAACCCTTCTCTTTCAAGCAGCCCTCCAGCCTGCTTTATTAAAGAAATATAACATCTGAGAATACATAAACTCAAGAATAAACAGAAGCAGTACTGTCCTCCACAGGCAGTTTTGATGGGATGCTCTAAAGCTTATTCTTTGCTTTTAAAAAGTCCCTTGAGGTTGCTCTGTAAAACATATGGTGATTTCATTTTAATATGTCCAGTTCAGTCCTGGGAGCTGCAAGAGACTAGGATAAAATGGTTTTTTCAATGTTGCTTCTTTTTAAAGAGTGAGGGAAAAGCTTTTTGGGTGTTGAGAGTTTTTATGCTTGGTACTGTATATACCTACATTCAAATAACAGTCTAGGTATCTAGTGAAGTGTTTGGAACTCAACTTCTGTGCTTCGTGAGAAAGGCAAGCACAGATTTCAAGGAATTACAGAGAAAACTCTCCTGCAGTGGTAATGGAGAGGAGAGGTTGGGAAAGCATTCTGTTACTCTTATGCTTTCTTTCCAAGTTCTTAATGGCTTGGTCACAACGGCATACCTGTACTTAACGATACTGTCTTGCATAAGCAAGTATATCCTACTTGAGAATATAAGTGGTTATTCAATCAAAATAAGTTAATGTGAGCCACAACTTTCTGTGCAGAATTACAGATTATTTTGTGAATAGCACCAGTTTGGGGGGTTTGTTTAATTACTGATCTGGTGGCAGATAATAGTGCAAAACAATGTGGTAACATTCTTACAATTACTGTTCTAGAGATCCATCACAAAACTAAATTATTGGGATGGGAATATTGGATTTTTTGGTTGATTCTTTGGCCATAGTTGGAATTTAATAGTAAGAAAAAATGCTGTGAGGTATTCTAGTTGCATGTTTATTGTCAATAACTCTAACATACAACTTTTCTTTCCAGATTCTTGTTCATCTGGGGCTTTTGACAAAAGAATCTGGATTCAAGATTGCAGAAAATGCGTTTAGTGGTGGCCCACTTGGTGAATTAGTCCAGTGGAGTGATTTAATTACATCTCTCTACTTACTGGGCCATGACATCAGGATTTCAGCTTCACTTGCAGAGCTCAAGGAGTAAGGAGATTACTTTCACTTTTGAAACTGTAACACAAAAAAAAAAGAATTGTAAACTCTTGAAGCTTCTGTTAACAGTATATAATTTCTTGAAGCATAAAATGAAAGTGATAATTCACTAAACAGACAATAAGATTATTTTCATGAGCTAAGTACATGTACTATGAAAAGGATAATGCGTTTTCATTGTAGCTTCAGGCTCCTGAGACTTCATAAATGAATGTTGTAAAATTCAAACTAAGCAGCTTATTCTTTAACATTCCAGGTGCTTTAACCAGCTGCAATAGGAAATGTTACAGACTAGCCTAATTCTCTGTCCTCCTCTTCAGTTCCTGCTATTCTTCACTCAGTATCTGATTTTAAAATAAAGGTTTAAATCCTTTAAACACATTACTTTTGATGTAGTTAATTGCTTATGTTAGGTCAAATTGCTACCTCACTCATCTTTGTCTTGCTTTGCACACCAGTTCAGCATTAGACATAAAACATCTGTTTTAAGCTTGAGCACATACACTTTTTCTCTAGCTTTCATTTTTTTATAACAAATATGACAGCATCATTGTATAGAGAGCTCTTATGCTATAAAGCTGTCAATGGAAGTCAGAATTATTTCAAATAATTTCAAAGCTCACTAGTTTTAAACATTCCAGCCATATTACTCTCTTGTTTAAACTAGATGAGGTTTTTAGTGAAAATTAGCACTTTACTGATGTATAAACAGTTCTTTAATAAATGCTGAGCATCTTCAGCATTTGAATGTTGTTACACGGTTCCTGATTTGGAAAAGGCTTTTTAGGAAAGCGGAATTATTGGTATAAATAGTTTTACGGCATCTATTCAAGGTATTTGGAAAGTAATACTTTTCCATATTCCTTCTTTCTTTGTTTAGGATTATGAAGAAGGTTGTAGGTAACAGATCTGGCTGCCCTACCCAGGGGGATAAAGTTGTAGAACTCATTTACATTGATATTGTGGGACTCACTCAGTTTAAGAAAACCCTTGGTCCGTCATGGGTACATTACCAGTAAGTATAACACTTATTTGACCTCTTAACTGCTTTGTTAAAGAGCTTTTGTTGAGTAACACATGTCAAAATACTGAGGTGAGTACATCCACATGAATTTGAGTTCATTTAAAAGTAAAAATGTGGTTCTCTGTTGTCTTCCACTCTTAGGAATAAAGGGGCTATTACCTGTTTGTTGCATACCATCCTTATCCCCCCCCAGCAAGTTTGGGATTCTTGGATTCAAGCATTTTTAATCTTAATGAATTATATTATCTTGTTGAGTCATCATCTTTACCTTTTTTTTTTTTCCTCCTTTCTTTACATTCCCACCCGCTTTTGTTCTGTAATTTACTAGATGAGCTGAGAGATATTGGATTTTGTTGTTTAGGTGGAATTCCAAAGGCATGTTTTGCTTACCAACATTTGTAGCCATACTGCATTGATGACTGTGGAGATTTATTTATTCTAATTGTATTGCCCAACAACAGCAATGCAGTTTTTTCTGTTCTGTCCCTTAAGATGCTGGGCAGAAATTTGTCTTCAGGGTACGTCTAAAGAACAAACCTGCTGGTAACTGCAGTTGCTGTGGCTTCTGTAATATATAAATACCTTTCCATTAGAAATGGAAGATGGCGGTCACAAGAAATTACTTTGTGCAGCCTTCTTAGTGTCTGCAGTTATAGAGCCACATTTCTTTTTGTCAATAACTAAATCAGCAAGCATCCCATGTGTTGTACGAATACATATCAGCATGAAATAAAACCAAATCTAATTTACTGACTTTGATTTTTCTATACCTAATCGAATTAGCTGTGTTTCATGATCCGTAAAGTCCAGTAAACCCTACTTGAAGGAAGGTATTGAAAGGTGTTTGCTGCAGGCAGAAAAATTGTTTTCTCTCTACCTTGGGATTTTCTAGAGCAATGGATCTTTTCAGCGTAATTTTAAATGAGAGTACTGTGATCAGTGTTGCAGATTAGATTACTCTTAATCTCTTTTTTGAAGCAGAGGAGTAAACGGATATTCTGGTTTTTAGGAGCCTGCTAATAAAGATAATCCCATTTTCCACTGAGCTACAGTTGGTTGTCTGTCTGCCAGCTGTAATTGTCACCAGGCGATCACATACAGTATTGTGGTCAGGATACAATACCATACTTAAAAATTTAAAATGTTTCTTCTCTTTTGCTTTCAATTTCCTATTTGGTATATTCTGTAATGAAGATATGGAAATACACCATGACATTGAGATTATTAGATTAACTCTTCAATTTTTCTTGCTTATTTCATGAATCATTAAATCTTAAGTTGTCAATCTGTTTTTCATTGATTCCTAATTTGTGGTAATGACTGACTTTTACTGGTTTAAGAGAGTAGAATTAAATTTAACTCTAAATAAATACCTTAGGGTAGTGTAGGAGTTTTTGTTAGGCTTTTGAAGAGGAAAAAAATTACTTATTGCCTCTCTTCTACAACATTGGATTTCATGGAATGGAAGGGGACCTCATCTAGTCCGTACCCTTGCTCAAAAGTAGATCAGATGTATTTGTTCTCCTTGAGAGACTTTTGCCTAATCTTCTACTGAAGACTCCAAAAGATGTCCCAGCCATTGTTTCATATTTTTAAGCTTTTCTTTAAAGTGTTTTTCGTGGCCTGATTTCTTGCAAGCTGCCCGTTACTGCTTATTCTAATATGGTTCTGGGGAATAAATTACTTCCTTCCCCTCTCTGCCAGCCTCTAGAACATCGTATATACTGCTTTTCCTTCAATTTGCTTTTCTTCAAAATAAATTTAGGGTTTTCGATCATTACTTATAATTTGGGTTTTGTAGCCCTTTCATCAAACTTGTTGCATTTGTTGGGAATCTCTCTAATTACTTGCTACCGTTCCTCAAGTTCAGTGTACAAAACAGGGTCCAGAGTCTAGCAGAGACTACCAGAATTGATTAGAGCAGAAGAATTATTTCATAGCTTCATGCAAGCTATCTCCTATTTGAGGATCCTCTTGCAATCATTTTTTTTTTTTCTCTCGGCATCATGCTAATATACATACCTCATAAATTTTGTCATCAAAATATTTCTAAGTTAAAACTAATAAGTCCAGTGTAAGAGCATAATTATGTGCCTTTCTTTAATTCATTCCAGTAAAATAAACAGTATCACAAATAAAGCTGCCTTATAGCCCTTGTTCTTTACAAACGTTGCTTTCTCACTCAGTTGTATTTAATGTCAGTAGGAATAATTCTTTGTCTTGAAAGAAGCGTTTTGCTTTATGCCATATAGTTTTTCAACAGATGTGCTGGTCAGCTCAGTCTGGTTTACACAGACAAGACTCAAATACAAATAAAAACTTGCTTATTCACTTCAGATTGGAATAGAGTGGTAGAAAACACCTATGCCTTCAGAATAGTCTCTTGATAAGAGTGCCATTTATAATCTCTGTGAGTGAACTTGAGCCCTGAGGAAGTTTTTGGTAATTACCAATCAGGTTTTTAGAACTGCTAGCTCAAAAGAATGACCCTGCTGCTCTGAGAGGTGAGTGTTTCTGAACAAGTGAAATACTGTTTTGTACATCTGAGATCTGTAGCACCGATGACTCTTGGTAGTACATGCTTTATCTGTGGTATAATTGGTGCTGTAAATAGCACGAATATAGCAAAACAGATCTCATTTTTGGGTGCACCTTATTTTCAAGCAGAAGAATGCCTGGACATGCTGTATTTTTCAGTTCTGAAGTCTGGATTTATGCAGTTTATGTGCAATGAAGCAACATAAAAATTAGTAGCTTAATATAGTTTGAGGAGTGCAGCTCGTTGCCTTTCTTAGCACCCGCATCCTCCATACATAAGAATCTGGTACTTTTTCATTTTTCTACAGTCTCTCCATCAATGACTCATTCCCATATGCCAAAAATCCAACCGGCTTTATTCTTGAAATAAATTAACATGACAGCTATCCTGAAAAATGAGCAACATTCCGGCTTCTTACATGTTCTCTAGAATACATCTGCTTCAGGAGGGTTATTTTCTGACTAAGTTTTTACATTTTAAATGCAAGTAGTGAGTGGTCTGAAAGTTACTGTGTGTCTGCAAGGATTTCTATATGCAGATATGAGCTGCTCGTGATCTGAGCTGGCTGGACATGAGCCAAAGCAGTCTGGAGTGTGTGGATCTGTGCTGGCACATTGCTGTGCCTGAGCTCGATGCACCTACAAAGCTCCCAAACCAGAATTGGTTGGGTTTTGACCAGCTTGCTCCCAGGAAGATGTCTGCAGCCACTGGCATATATGTACCCTTTATTTAACAGTTTATGCTGGCATGGGTAGTTGCTGACAGTGGTGCGTGCTGCTGGACAGTATGGCTCGTATAGACAAAGATGATGTAAGTAGAGTAAAATTATAACCTCAGGTGGGAGAAGGATATGAATAAATGTGTGTAAATACTTCCACTAGGACAGCCCAGTTAAGATTGTGCTTATGCCCAATATTTAAGAAAAAAGAGTCACTTTAAAAATGGTCATAATCTTGAGTTACTTTTGTCTATATTTTTTTATAAGCCCCAAAATTGTCACTTCTAATATCTTAGAAGAAGACTTGATGTTTCTATAAGCAGTTTACTACCCATCAGATCCTCTTTTGAATTAGTTATTGAATAGTCTAATCAGCCTGACACCAGTTCCAAGGCATGCTGTAATTCTCTGCAACTTCCTGCTAAAGCTAGGTGGCCATTTGTTTTGCCATTTTCAAAATGAATTGTTTCACTCTAGAAATGCTATAACATTATGTGTAAAATCAAAATTTTGTTCAAAAATAGTTCAATTGAAAGAGATTTAAACCACTAAGTGAAACAAATGGCGAATATAGTACTTGGTCAGACAATTGAGGCGCTCCTACATATGTTAAAATATCAGTTCAGCATAAATGACGTTATTTACATTCATTTCTAAATTTTAAATCTTTTCTTTACCAGTTCTTTTCTGCTGCATTTGTGGTGGGTGCCAGGTGCCCACCAAAGCTGCTCTATTGCTCCCCTCCTCAGCTGGGCAGGGGAGAGAAAATAATAACGAAAGGCTCGTGGGTCGAGATAAGGGCAGGGAGAGATCATTCATCAGTTACCGTCACGGGCAAAACAGTCTCAATTTAATTTATTAACATCAAATCAGAGTAGGATAATGAGAAAATAAAAACGAAATCTTAAAACACCTTCCCCCCACACCTCCCTTCTTCCCAGGCTCAACTTCACTCCTGATTTCTCCACCTCCTCCCCCCAAGCCACGCAGGGGGTCGGGGAATGGGGGTTGGGGTCAGTTCATCACACGCTGTCTCTGCCGCTCCTTCCTCCCCAGGGGAGGACTCCTCACACTCTGCCCCTGC